AAGATGGTAGAAAGGAGGCGCCGCGAAATAACTAACTCCAGAACATAAAAAAGGCTGTGTCGTTGCCGTTGTGGCTGAAACACATCTGACCAGACAATCGCCCTACTTCAGACTGTTAAAAATTTGTGGCAGTTCGCGTTTCCGGTTTATATCTTCTTTGTGGATCTAGAGAAAACTCGTGATCGGATTCCGCTCAGAAATCTATTTAGCATACCTGAGAACACATGGCATCAATCATCAGCTGTTACGGGGTCATCCAATCACTATAGCTGATAGCAGGGGTGTCGCAAAACAAAGTGCTGTCCCTGGTCTGCGCAAAGGTTGCGTTTTGTCCCCTCTCCTGTTTCTTTTGTGTATGTATAGAAATCTCGGGTTAGGTAAAGACAATGAGGCCATCATCGTAGGTAGTGTTGAGGCGAGAAGGTTGCTCTTTAGATACGATGTTTTGTTAGCACTGTCTGAAACTAATCTCTAGCGCTTTTTGGAAAGGTTCTACGTGGTTGGGATACGTGCGAAAATGTTTAAAGCTAAAAGCCTAATGCATTTTCGCTCTTGCTCATAGTTGTCTTCAGATAAATGGAGTATCAGTGAAACACGTTGAGAAGCTAAAGCACTTCGGGATCGCGTTTACTGGCGATTGAAAATGGGAAGAAAATATCGACCGACCGACTGAAATGGCCATTGGCGTTCAGCGTTAACTGACCCGAAAAAATGTGAGAAAATCAGAAATGAGGCTGGCAGCTAAGCTCTCGATGTTCAAGTCGATCATCAATCCAATGCTCAATTGATCATGAATCGTGGTTCTGGTTGAAAAATTCGATCTCGGATACAAGCAGTTTGAAAGGTTATTCTGTGATGAGTCGTCGACATTACGCGTCTCGACATGATCAGAATGCAGAAATCCGATAGTTCCTTTGTGCACAGGTGCTACCTCCAGATTGAAAAGTCATGGCTGTCATTGCTCGGACACGTGTTGCGAATGCCTCCAGAAAAAAAGGAAACGCAACTATTACTTTTCCAGCTGATTGACAGAAGACACAACGGGCGGCCAATATTAACCAGGTTGGCTCCGGTTGTCTTCCGGTTGTCCGAAGTTGAGATGCTGGAACATGATCAAGGATATTAGCTACACAGGTGGTCTAACTCATCTGCCTCCGTGACCCGGAATGCGAAACAGTCATGGAAAGTGCAGTGAATGGAAGATTTGCACAACTAATTTCTGTGGCAAAAAGTTTTTTTCATTGCTTTTAAAGTCATATTTTTTTAGTCTTTTACAGTAAAGATGGACTCAGTTACGACGCATGAATTGCATTATATTTTAGTAAAGACTCGCTAAAAATTGTAATTCGCAGCAAACATGAAAACAGAATGGTGATAATAAATAACAAAAAAATTTTAAGTAATAGGCATGTCTTTCAAGAAAAATCTGTTTTATTTTTAGTTATAAACAAAAGTTTAATTGAGATATAATAAGATGTAATTATTTCGTTCTG